ATTATAAAAACATTAATGGTAGTTTTAAATGCATGACAAAATATTTTATCCACTGCACAGTCATATTTTTAATACATTTGCATATTTTTTTATGATAAGTATTAATTGTGTTTTTAATTCATTAAATAATAATACTGCAAATATCTTATCAGATAGTTAATGAGACCATTAATTTTATATTCACATTGGTCACCTTAAACCTTTCAAGGCACCTTGTTAAGGCGTTAACTACAATTATTTTATTATTTAAACTTTGGGAACTTCCCTTTTGCCTACATTCTTTCCGAATTATTCACAATTTATAATGTGTGCTTATTTTTTCTATTTTCGTATGTATTAATAAAGAGTGCTTATGCATCTCACTAGTCTCATCTGCATCTTCCAATTGATAGCTATGTTCTTTATTTAAAAAAATCTAAAAAATTATAATAATGATTTAATGATTTTTCAACTACCAACAATTCTTAATCCTGTACTATTATACTATAACTCTTGCATGCACACCATTTCATTTCTTCATTGTTATGTTAACCTTGTACTATAAGCTTATGCATGCACCCAACCTTATTTCTCCATCGTTTCATTTATTTTTTTCTTGTTTCATTGAGTTTTATTTGTGAAAGGTTATATTTGTGAGAGGTTATATGCTGTTTTTTAAATATAGTTTTATGTTGTTTTAGTTGAATGTTGTTTTAGTTTTATGCTTTTATTTAGGAGTTTTAGTTTTTAGGCTATTTTCCATTTCCTTACATATATTATTATAATAAATATGTTTAAAATAATCAATTAAATATATAATAATAAATAGTTAAAGAATAATACTTAAATAACTACAAATTAAAATAACAACATTAAAAATTAAAAAATAAATTAAGAAATAAAATAATAAATCAAAAATTAAAATTTACGCATAATAAATATTATTTAAATAAATAAATAATTTCAAAAACATTAACAAACAGATATAAATTTCAAATTAATTACATTATAAATAATATTTAAATAAATATCAAATATTAAAAATTAAAGAAAAGTTAACAAATCAATAAAAAAAAGTTTTAAAAAACAACAAAAACACAACAAATTAAATTTAAATTAATAAACGAATCAAAATCTAAAAAAAATATACAACAAATAATTAAATAATAATTCATATTGAAAAATAAAATATCAATAAATAATTATAGACTAAAAAATTAACAAACAAATTTAAATTTCGAAATTAAGAAAAATTAATTACATTAAAAATAAAATTTAAATAAATATCAAATATAAAAATAAAATACAAAATTACAAAATATTAACTACAAAATATTTAATATTTAAATAAACTAATAAAAAATATAAAAAACAATTAAATGTAATAAAGCATATAAAAAGAATGAAAAGCAATGCTTGAACACATTTCAAGCTGCGCCAACAGTAAAACCGCAATTTCAAGTGCGGTAGCCGCATTTTCAATTGCGGCTCGATATGAACCACAGTTGCAAATATAGTTAGACTGTACGACAAGCTCTCAACCACACTTCTAATTGTGAAGAGTTTTACAACCCCTCTTCCAACGGTGGCGTGCTCTTAACTAGTAGGGTTAAGGTCTCGACTTTCATCCCATTCAGCCCAGAAATGCATCCTAACACATATAATCTCAGGATACAAATAACAGATACAAATACTACATACAAACAACACATACAAGCGCGACAACAAGTAAAGTGAGAGAGAGAAGAAAGGGGTGTAAGATTTCAGCAAGGGTACAGTTGGAATAATAGAAAAATGGAGAGGTGCTTTTCTGAATCATTCCTGTGCATAATATTTTATAATTTATAATTAAGGGTTGGTAGAACATGACCAAGTTAAAGTCTGAACCTTCCTCCACATAATATTTAATAATTTTTAATTTAAAACTAAGACTGGGTAGAACCTGACAAGGTTGAACGCATTTCTGAATCATCTTGTGCATAATATTTTATAATTTAAAATTTAAAATTAAGAGTCGATACAACCCGACCAAGTTGAGCACAGCTCTGAACCATACTGTGCATAATATTTTATAATTTAAAATTAAGAGTTGGTAGAACTTGACAAAGTTGAAAGTAGCTCTTAACCATCAAGGTTGGATGTAGGGTTGAACGTTCCTTAAAGTTCTCAAAACAAAAGACATGTCTTTATAAATTATTATGGAATTTTGTACTCTTGTTGCAAAACCTGATATGGATCCGAAGTATCAATGTCGAGGCCGAGCGCACGTCTACACGTCTACACGTCTGGTTCCTCGTGGTTTCATGGGGATGTCGCTCGGCCCCACGGTGGACGCCAAAATGTTTCGGTTGAATTGGTCCGAGGGTCAGTCGTCCTTCCTTGCTCTGCTCGCTTTTGATCTTCAATCTTCTCCGAAAACGCGATCCACTCCAATGGATTGTTGACATGTAGAAGACACTCCGACGCTCAAGTCAGATATAGTAAAAAGATGATTGTACCTGACATATTGTATTATTTATAAAATTTGTGGCCGTGAAGTTCATTGATTAGTTATCAGTATATTTGTAGGGAATCAAACCCAATAATTAATAATTAATAGCGAAAGGTAATCTCACCCATTAATACCTGATAATTGTCTACCAATAACCATTAACTCCCATCAGTATGTAATAGTACAATTTTTCACTGCAATTTGAATAGATAGCTAGTTACAAAAAGGTGTTGTTGATATAAAACAATTTAAATTAAAATGAATATAAACAATATTCCAAATTTGATAATCACAGTATTAAAATCCTCTTTTGCCAAAACTAGCACGTGTACTAGTAACAGATGAACTTACTTCTCTTTAAAGTATCTTCTCCATTTTCATGAATGTGCATATAATAATTATTTTATTATATTTTATCATTTAGGTATTTTGAAATATATATATATATATATATATATATAT